CTATATGATCTTAAATTAACAAATCATTCAATGGGGAGAACTTTACTATACTTTTGATTTCAAGGAACTTCATGATAGCAACGTTTTGGACAAGTTCATTACCGACGCTTTGCGAGCCCTGAGGCCCGGTGGAGCATGTATAATTCGCCAAGATCTACGTAAGATACTTTCTACTCTCCAAACTAAGAGATTAAGCCAATTACGATTTTTCAGAAGGGTTAGGGGATGCAAAGAAGGTAGCAAAGTTGACTGATTATTTGGATGTATTCCGCTCAGAACAAAATGGAGAGAATTTTGGATTTTCGTTCTACGCCGTTAATGGAGTGGAAGAATCGATATATGTAAGTTTAGTGGCAAAAATATCTCACTTCTTGCCAATACTTCAAGGTCGCTAGTAGCATGTGGCGGTAAAAATAAGAGAAGGTTCCAAATCAAGTCATTTTATGTATTCCAAATCAAGTCATTTTATGTACGATAGGTATAGGGTAAACGAGCCAAAATTCCATTTTAGGAAAAGTTTTAGTACCTGAAAATCTTCTAATTCAATAATTTTTCAGGCTCATCAAAATTGGCAAGACTTTATTTGGACCTTGGTGAAGAAACAGTTCCCTACTAATAATGGATCCATTATAACATTCAGGTAAAATTTGGACAAACGGGTTAAAGAGAGCCAATTTTCAAAATCGATAAAGGAAGTTTATAGGGACTTTCTTGACAAAACCCAATACACCGATACCGGTATCTATGCATACGAGTGGATCTTCGGAAAAGATTTCATATCTCCTGGTGAGTTCATTTCTGCTATTTTAAATCATAACCATTCAAATCTAGTTATTAGGAAGTTCTAAAGAGCAATGTGTGATAAATGTAATATCACTTGATTTGCATAATGAAAGCCAAAATCTATGATTTCAAGAAAGTGAGCTATCGCGTAGGCCCATGCGGTTCTGTTACATGGTGCATTACACATTTTATACTTTTACAAAGTCCATAAAAAGTCGAACGGTCTTTTTTGTCCATTATTGACAGAGAGAAGAATGCTCGCTTTCGTTTTTAAGGTTTTATTAAATAATAAAATGACTCTTTTGACATTTCCTCTTTTTGAATAAGGGAAGCTCGTGTACCATCAGAACCAAATTTGTTGAGCTTATTTAAGTTGTTTCGAATACCATTTCCAATCTCAACGATAAGACTATGGCATAGGACTATTGTAAGTAAATAATAAAAAGTCAAAGACAAAAA